TTTAGGGTTTAGGCTTTAGGGTTTGGGGTTTGGGGTTTTGGGTTTAGCGTTTTCGCGTTTAAGGGATTTAGGGTTTGGGGTTTAGGGTTTAGGGTTCAAGGGTTTACCTCGGCTTTCTTCCGGTCTTTAGGGTTTGGGGTTTTGGGTTTAGCGTTTTCGCGTTTAAGGGATTTAGGGTTTGGGGTTTAGGGTTTAGGGTTCAAGGGTTTACCTCGGCTTTCTTCCGGTTTTTAGGGTTTGGGGTTTAGGGTTTAGTGTTTGAGGGTTCAAGGGTTTACCTCGGCTTTCTTCCAGTTTGTGCCAGGATCTGCCGCGGAGATGCGGTTTAATTTGTAACATAGTAGCAGTTGTAATGCTTGCTGTAATTGCACTGCGGAAAGTAATAAGCTCAGTACTTTCATACGAGTCATAATGGTCATGATGAGAAGAGAAATGGCAGCAGTAGCAGCACTATATCTTGACTCTAACTTTCCCCGGAACTTTCAACCTACGTTTTAGGATTCGGGTTGATGGTTCAGGGCCCTATTGAAAACGGTTAAAGTATATGTTTGCTCGAAGGCAATGGCATCGTCGGAGAACTTCTGCCAGAGGCCAGGGGTAGGGTTTAACATGGTGTTTGCGAGGTCCCCCGCTAGGCCCATCAAAACCGTCACCCTCGTTTTTTAGTCATACTTTCGAAGCCCCGGAGGAATTGTAATCTACAGAGCTCGATTAGGGCGTTGCGGTTCACCTGCGAGTAGGCATCCACGACTCCCAAGGAGTTCAATCCGTATAGAAGTCAGACAAGGAACTAACTAAATCGAACAGCAAAACTCCAACATATGAGCCCAAAACCTTTACGGCTTTCCCCGTGTATTCTCCAGCCTAGACCCCCCAAAAACCTTCTAATATACCCTAAATACCCACAATTAAGGACCATAAGGGCTCCATTTAAGGGTCTTGGGGAGCCCTGGAGAAACCTAGAATTTCAGCCCTGGCTCTAGATAACACCCTAAACCCTAAACGCTAAACTCTAAACCGAATCGAAGATCGCCCCGGAAAGGAAAATGCCGACACCAAGCGCCAGTGCGCCGAGGAGACGCCCACATCCTTTTCCTTTATTGCTGTCTTATGGCTTGGGGTTTAGGGGTTAGGGGTTTAGGGTTTAGGGTGTACCCTCAAAGGACTCATGTTTTAAGGCTTTTGGGCCCAAAGACCCCATTATATAAGGGCTATTTTGATGCTAAGGGTAAGGGTTCAAAGGACCCAATAATCAGGTACTTAGGTGTCGGATAGTAGCTATGTAGGTTACTGTTGGGGAGAGTATATGATTGTTAGGTACTTGGACCCTAGGGTTTATTGCTGTCTTATGGCTTGTTCACTTTGTTGTTGGCTTTGGTTTCGGTTCCAGGGTTAGGGGTTTAGGCTACCTAGACTCTAACCTGTCTACCTTCAACATGGTTTGTGACCCGAAACGATAGGTACCCTAAACTCGAAACCCTATAACCCTAAACCCACCTCCCTTGTCAGGGTACTTGGGTTACTCTCGGTAGAGTTGAGGCGGCTCTAGGGTTTGAGGGTTTAGGGTTACGGGTTTCGGGTTTTAGGGTTCAGGGTCATGGGTTTTCGGGTTTTAGGGTTTAGGGTTACGGGTTTCGGGTTTTAGGGTTCAGGGTCATGGGTTTTCGGGTTTTAGGGTTTAGGGTTATGGGCTTTCGGGTTTTAGGGTTTAGGGTTATGGGTTTTCGGGTTTTAGGGTTTATGGTTATGGGCTTTAGGGTTTTAGGATTCAGGGTTATGGGTTTTAGGGTGTAGAGTTTCTAGTCACGACACAGGCGCCACGTCAGTTATTGCTGAGCGGTGTGTTGCCACCGGCGACTACGACAATGACGGCGGGAGAAGCTACGACCAAGCCCTAAACCCTAAACCCTAGGCCCTAAACCCTAAACCCTAAACCCTAAACCCTAAACCCTAAACCCTAAACCCTAAACCCTAAAACCAAGCAACTGTCGAGGTCCTAAACCGTAAAACCCTACAAACCCCTGAGACCTAAACCCTAAAACCTTGAACCCTAAACCCCTAAAGCCCCTAGGGTTTAGGGTTTAGGGTTTAGGGTTTAGGGTTTAGGGTAAACCCTAAAGCCCCGAACCCTAAAACCCTAAACCCCTAAAGCCCTAAACCCCTAAAGCCCCGAATCCTAAAACCCTAAACCCCTAAAGCCCTAAACCCTAAACCCCCGAATCCTAAAACCCTAAACCCCTAAGGCCTAAACCCCTAAACCAACCAAACCGTTGTGGCATCTCAGAAGTTCATGATGACCGAGCCTCAAGACGGGGCCTGTTTTTTGTTTTAGAGTTTAGGGTTTAGAGTTTAGGGTTTGGAGTTTAGGGTTTAGAGTTTAGAGTTTAGGGTTTTAGAGTTGAGGGTTTAGAGTTTAGAGGTTATGTAGGGTTTAGGGTTTAGAGTCTAGGGGCCTGGTGTCCTGGGACCAGTAGAAGCCCGGTGTGCCTCAACGAGTCAGAGGCTTAGATGCCTCTTTGCGAAAGGCCCTAAACCCCACCTGGACCCCAAATAACCTACCTGTTGTTAAGGGCTCCTTACTATAAATTCTTGAAAGTAAGTCTTTGAAGTGGTAGGTTCTTTTGGGTTAACGTAGACCCTACCCTGAAGCCTAAACCTTAAACCCTACACCTAAGGACCAGTACCCTGGTTTGGAACCCCTCCCAAAACGGAGGGGGCGGTGGGTTCGAGGCTTGCGTCTGCCGGCTCCAGAAGACGAGAGGCCCTAAACCCTAAACCCATAGAGCCCTTAACGGAGCCCTCAAAGAAACCCCTGTGGTAATGCCCAACTATACATAGTCAGCTACAGTCGAACAGAATATGCGAAATTCTATCACACTAAAAATAAACTACAAACTCTGGAATTATGGTATATTCCTTATTATGGGTAATGCAGGATTTATATCATCAACCGTAGTGGAGGTATCGGTGACCTACCCGAAACCTGAAACCCTAAACCCTAAACTCTAAACCCTTTCAGGAGTTTGACTTCGTGTCGTCTGCCCAGAAGTTCGACAAGGCCGGGCACAAAGAAGTCCCAACAAGAGCCCCAAGCCCTACGTACCTGTTAGGGTTTAGGGTTTAGGGTTTAGGGGCCCTACACAACCTACCGTTTTCAGGACTTCTATAAAGACTTCATAACAAGGAACCCTAAAAAAGGTAGCTTCCATAGGGTCCAGGTAGACTCTAAGCCCTAAACCCTAAACCCCTAAAGCCTAAGCTCTGAACCCCTAAACCTTAAGCCTAAACCTCCAAACCCTAAACCCTAAGGTCTGAACCTTAAGTACCACATCCTGGACTCTGAAACCCGATGCCCTACACGCTAAGCCCTAAACTCGAAGAGGAGCCCCGTCAACCCCAGCTTCGGTCGGTGATTTTAGAAGCCACCAATTTAGGGCTTATAGGGTGTAGAGTTTAGGGTTTAGGGCTTGTAGGGTTCAGGGTTCAGGGTTTAGGGTTTAGGGTTCAGGGTTTAGGGTTTAGGGTTCAGGGTTCAGGCTTTAGGGTTTAGGGTTGGTTTCAGGGCTTGGAGCCATCATTGCAACGAGCTGTCGGGCAGAGATACCCAAACCCTAAACCCTAAACCCTAAACCCTAAACCCTAAACCCGAATCTCGAACCTAAAGAGCCCCTAAAGATGTCAACCCAAACCTGGCCCCTAAAGAACTTGCCTTTTTAGGGTTCTTGGTTTAGGGTTTAGGGTTTAGGGTTTAGGGTTTTGGTTTTAGGTTTTAGGGTTTAGGGTTTATTATGAGTTCTTTATGTATATAAGTCCTCAAAAAGGTAGGCTAGGTGGGGTTAAGGAACCGCCCGAGCTTGGCTTTAAATCCTTAAACGTCATAAGGAAGCTGTGGCCTTGACCCTAAGGTTTAGGGTTTAGGGTTTAGGGAAACCCTAAGCCTGGAACTAGATGAGCTTGAGGATGAGCTATCTGTGGGGGCCTCTTGCGCATAGAACAGCAGGACGGAGCAACCCTGAATGGAAATGTAGTCACCCGTCAGATCGCCCCCATGAGCCCCAATGCGTCGTGTGGAAGGAAGCTCTACTCGAAAGTCTGACAGCAAGCTCGGCAGATGCAACTTAGGAACATTGGAATGAACCACGGCGGGCTTGACACCAACGGGTCTAAAGTCGCATAAAGTAAAGAAATCTTGCCGGGACCGAGAGGCCTCCGTGTCCGCAAGCTGGGGCACATCAACTACCGCAGCAAGCTGAGGGCAGTAGCATCCCTGGACATCCAAATCAGGTGTGTGGAATGTGCACATGGCTACCCGACTAGGATCAAGTCGGAGAAAGTGCAGCGCATGATCGACGATGCTGCGGTCGCAATGATGGTGAGGAAGAAGGACCTCATGGTGGCGCTCAGCGATGGCCTTCTGAAGAGGCAGGAGAGCGATGACCTCAAGAAGAAGCTGGCTGAGGCTGAGGAGACCCTGCAGGAGACCAGCGAGGCCATGCACATCCAGTTCAGCGACAAGGAGTCTATGCTGAAGAGGAAGCTGGCTGTGGCAGAGGCAGATCGCGCTGTCACCGGGCGTTAGACCGGCCTTTCAAAGCAACAAGACTTCAGAGGCAGCCCTCATTCCCCCAGGGGCCTGAATAATCAGTAGTGTGGGGACCTGAATGCTAGAACAGGGTTCGGGTGGCGTTCCTTTTTGTAATTATAGGATATTATGTTGCCCCAAACCCCATTGAAAGGATTAAGGCCTCTACATTAGGGATATGTCGTAAGGGTTTCCGAACACCGAAACTAAACCCGAACCCCCAATACCGTAAAACCCTAAGCCTTAAAACCCTTAATCGTAAAACCGCAAACCCTAAACCCCTGAATCTTACAACCCTGAACCCTAAACCCCGAAACCACTTCATCGTAAAACCCAAAACCCTGAACCCCTAGACCCCTTAATCGTAAAACCCTAAACTCCTCAAGCGTAGGCCAAAACACCTAAACCGTTCGGCAAGGTCTCCGATCTCGATGCCCTGAAGCCTCTGGAAGGTTTCCGCCAGGGCATCACATTTCAGGGTTCAGGGCTTTCAGGTTTTACTAAACCCTAAACCCTAAACCCTAAACCCCTAAACCCTACACCCTGAACCCTTAGGGTTTGGGTCTTTAGGGTTTGAGGATATTAGGGCTTGGGGTTTTGAAGGTTAGGGGTTTAGGGTTTAGGGTTTAGGGTTTTGGCTAAGTGGCTCTTTACAGTATCAACCTTCGCGCCACTACTGATGGCATCGCTACAAGCTGTCCTTGTACTGTAGTTGTTACTGATACGACCATGACTTTATATCGGTTATACTTATGCATAAGGCTATCGGCTACCCTAAACCCCTAAACCCCCAAACCCCCAAATTCTACACCCTGAACCCTAGTTTTTTTGGGGGGAGGTTTTAAGCTAGAGACTTCAAGGCTTTCTGCCGGGAGACCAGGTTTCATTAGGCTTCTGGCTTAGGGCTTATGGGGTTTAGGGTTTAGGGGGGTTTAGGGTTTAGGGTTCAGGGTTTAGGTTGCGGGTGTTCGGATCCCTGGCTTGGGGTTGGAGAGGGTTTTGGTTTTAGGGTTCAGGGGCGACAATCTCACTTCTCAGTCGGCGCGTTTCAAGGCCTCTATCTACTTGACCGTATGCCTATTTTTCTGCTGATCGCACTCACATCTTGTTGCATCTTGGTTCTGAACCCCTAAACCCTAGACCTTTCCCTCTCGCTGATTTTTTCGTTGGTCGATAGATTGATCGAAGGGAGGTCGATAGATCGCTTGATAGATGGTTCGACGTTAGATAGAGAAGTCGACAGAGAGCTAGACAGATACCCTAGTCAGAAGCATAATCGTCAACATGAACATATACAACATATACAAAAGCATGACCCTAATCACAACTACACACCTGCAGACAAAGCAGTGTGGACATGGACACAGGCATGTACTTGCATAATCGTAAATCTACGTTGGTATAACCTTAAATGACATATCAGACCACAGCATCACATGGCCTTCCCTTGCCGTGCACTGTGTTTTGTTGCAATATATTATTTTGCATTGCACTGCCCTGCACCGCACCGTGCTGTGTTGCATTTGTATGTCGTGCAGGTACACGTGCAGGCACGAATACACGCATACATGCAATCATGCAAGCATGCACACATGCATGCATACATCCCTCGCTGCCCATATGCATGCATGCATGCAAGCACACATACCTGCATGCTTGCCGGCATACGCGCGCATACATTGTTACATGCATGCAGACAGATACACGACAGCAATAGCATGCCGTGCCCAACGTATATGCGTAGACACTAGCATGCGGTCTTTTCTCGAACGCAAGATGAATGCCTCGACCCCAAACCCTGCACAGTGCTGGGTTGGAACTTCCCAAGACGGTGTGGAGGCTACAACAAGGGCAAGTCCTTTTTTGACAGCATTTCCTGCGAGGCCGGACGGATTTGGGAAAGCTACGAACCAACCTTTCAGGGTTCATGGAGTCTTGTTTCAAGGGGGTGGGGGGGGGTTCTTTTTTGAGGTTGGCTATGAGGATCCTACGGTTTGGGGTCTATGCGGGAGTCTTTCAATCACTGAAACTGTCCTTTTGGAGTCTCCACTTACCGGAATCTTTGCATTCCTGCTTCCTGCTTTGTGAGCTTAGGGTAAAACACAGGCCTTAATAATTACCTAAACTATTTTGGGGGTTCCGTATTATCACTAGAGTATAATATAACCCAAGGCCCAGGGCACTATTCTAATTAGCAAGGCCCCTATATTATGGGGCTTGAGGGTTCGGGTTTCAGGATGTTAGTTAGGAGTCTTGGGGTGCGTTTAATATAGGAACTTAAAATAATTACCCATATTATTCCGTAGGGCTCTTTTTTATAATTATACTATAACGGAGCCCCAAAACTCTATTCTAAGTACCAAGGCCCCTACATTCGGTGAGGTCTTGCACTTTGAGTTCGGATTTCGGATTTGGGGGTTGGGAGTGCGCTATCGGCATCCGTAGTTGCATGTGCGTTTGAGGGTTTGCACCCGATTTTCCAGATGTGGGTACATGTCAGTAGAAAGGGTCTGCCGGTCGTTTGCTTGCTGTAGGGCTTCGTATGCATGAGTCGCACCAGTCGTTTCTGTTTGAATTCTTCAGACCAAGAAGGTGTTATGATTGTCGTAATAAACTTTGTGTTTCGCCTTTGTTTGTTTTACACTCCAGACACATGCTGTTTTGGTTGTTCAGTCGGGCCTGTATAATATACCCCAAAACACCTATTCTAATTGTTAAGGCCTCTATGGGCGAAGCGCCCGAGTTCGAGGAACAGTTGCAGCTAGTCCTCAGGTTGGCATACTACAGAAAGTCCATGTATTTTGTTTTGTATTCCAATAGGGTTCCATGATGACAACCTGAGACCTAAGCCAAGTTCCTCAACAAGTAACCCTAACGAGAGGTATTGGTACTTGTTCAAGCCCTTATGCCTTACCGTACATATCAAGGCCAGACAAGCAAGTTTCAATCCACAGTTGCCCCTAAAACCGTAGGCCCTAAACCTACAGCCCTAGAAGCCCTATAAACCTTTGACGCCGAAGCCTTAAACATCTTCAGGCCTTAGAACCCCCCCAAAAAAAACCCAAAACCTGAAACATCAAACCCTAAACTCTAAACCGTCAAAACGCTGAACCCTAAACCCTAAACCCGCCAAAACTCTCAGGCCTCAATCCTAAACCCGAAACCGAGAACCCTAAACCCTATAACCCTAAACCCTAGACCCCAAACCGAGAACCCCCCCCAAAAAGCTACAGTCGCCCCCTGCTCCCCAGAACCCTAAACCCTAAACCCTAAACCCTAAACCCTAAACCTTAAACCCTAAGCCCTAAGCCCTAAACCCTCAGCCCTAAAGGCCCCCTGCTCCCCAGGCCACGGAGCGCTCAGGAGAAGCTGGGCGACAGAGATCGGATCGGGACAAGGCCGCGGGGAGGGGTTCCTTCAAGGGTTTAGGGTTTAGGGTTTAGGGTTTAAGGTTTAGGGTTTAGGGTCTAGGGTTTAGGGTTTAAGGTTTAGGGTTTAGGGTTTAAGGTCTAGGGTTCCTTCTAGGGTTTAGGTTCAAGGTTTAGGGGTTCCTTCTAGGGTTTAGGGCTTAGGGTCTAGGGTTTAGGATTTATAGGGTTCAGGGTTCCGGGTTTAAGGTTTAGGGGTTCCTTCTAGGGTTTAGGGCTTAGGGTTAAGGGTTTACAGGGTTTAGGGTTCAGGGTTTAAGGTTTAGGGGTTCCTTCTTGGGTTAGTTTCAGAGTTTCGGGATAGGCTTTAGGGTTGAATCCATAACAGTATCGTTACTACGACAAAGATAAGATTTGATGTTGATATTTGGTGATCACGACGATGATGGTGCTGATGATGATGATGATGATGCTGATGATGATGATGATGATGACGATGATGAAGGGGGTGCTGGTGGCAGTTAAGGTTGATGTAAGAGCATGCGCGCGCGTGTGTGTCTGTGTGTGGGTGTGCGTGGAATGTGTGTCTTTTCATTTATCTCGCGATCCATACAGTCCTGCAGGCACATGCAGAATATAGAAGCCTAACTAATTACCATATTATTTTCAGGGTTCCTGCATTAGAAATATACTGTGCGGAAGCCCAAAACCCTATTCTAATTATTAAGGTTCTTACATTAGATCAAACATTTGAAAGACCCGGGCCTCGTCAAGCCCTGCAGATAAAGCCCAAGCCTTAAGACCGAACGTAGAGGCCTTAATAAATAGAATAGGGTTTTGGGTACATTATACTACAACTTTAATAAGGAATCCCCAAAACCCAATTCTAATATGCAAGGCTCCTACATTACATAAACCCTAAACCAATCCAGCAATAAACAGTTCCAAGAACAGTGTACTTTCTTCCAGGACTCCTTCACAGGGAACCCATGTAACATTACATCAACCCTAAACCAATCCAGTACTGTCTTCCAGGACTCCTTCACAGGGAACCCATGTATAAACCCTCCACCCTACGCAGAACAAATCAGTCTAGATCCTTTAATTTAAACTTATCCAAACATTCGTGAACCCTAAACTCAAGAAGAGAATTCTTGATCCTAAATCCTAACGACAAGAAAGGGACTCTAGATCCAAACCCACCAAAATCAGGGACTAAACCCTAAACCCTAAACCAAATCAGGGACTCGATCCCCGTACACCCTACGGCCCTAAAGCCCATGAGGATGGGGGGTTTCGGCTCGCCTTTCAGGCGAGGGAAGCTGACGTCGAAGCTTTCGGAGACTCCAACCGCCGCGGCAAGGCCGGTGTAGGGTTTACGGTTTAGGGTTTAGGGTTTAGGGTTTAGGGTTTAGGGTTTAGGGTTTAGAGTTTAGGGTTTACGGTTTAGGGTTTAGGGTTTGGGGTTATGGCATGAAGGGTTAGTGAGGGTTGTAGGGTTTGTTCCAAATGGCATGAAGGGTTACGTGTTTATGGGGTTTTGTGGGGGACACATAACGGGTGTTCAAGGGTCTTGTCGGGATTTCAATACGTGTTATGAGGGTTTAGGGTTCTCTGCCATCAAAAGTCGTCTAGTAAGGAACCCTAAACCCCCAAATACTAAGCCCTAAACCCTGAACCCTCTACCTTCATCCCACCTTTTGCGATGATGGATCCCGGAAGCTTGAGCGGATGCGCTACAAGCTGTTGATGGGCTCAGGGTTAAGGGCCCCGGATCAAGGGCGTAGGGAGATGCGTTTAGGGTTTAAGGTTCAGGGCTTCGGGTTTAGGGTTTAGGGCTTAGGGTTCAGGATTTCGGGTTTAGGGTCCAGCAGTTTTGATGGACTCCGGCTCCAGGGGCTCGGGGATTCAGGGCCTTACGGTTATGAGTTTTGAGGGTTGATGGTTTAGGGGTTTAGGGTTTAGGGGTTTAGGGGTTAAGGGTAAAGCTTAGGGATTAGGGTAAATCCTGCAATACCTTAAGGACCCTAAACTATGGGAATTATGGGGTTTGGTTTCCACATGTTGTCGACCGTGCCACTACGCCGGCACCAAGACTGCTCGCCGCAGCCGCAGCCGCAGCCTGCGGTTTTGTATTTACGGTCTAGGGTTAACCCTAAACCCTAAACCCTCAATGATTGCAGTTCCTTCTGAGGAACCACGTCGCCAGCGACACCTTCGACCGCAGCTGTGCTTTGTTCAGCAAAAGGAAAGTGGTCGACGCCGATGCTTCGACCGCCGGGACTGCTGCGGACCGTCCAAGGCGAACTCCGCACTCTATGGCTCTATGGCACGAGCAGGAGCGGGAACGGGCTCGCGGAGGAGTCTGCATGTCAGCCGCAGCTGAAGGATGGGCAACATGAAAGCGGTCGAACATGTCGTTATTAC